GTGGAGCTGCTGCAGAAGATGGTGCCCACAGATGTCGAGATCAAGGCCTACAAGGAGTACATAATTGCGCGCAAGGACCCACAGCTGCTTACGGAGGAGGATAGGTTCATGTTGCAGCTGTCGCGTGTCGAGCGAATCTCCTTCAAGCTCTCGATCATGAACTACATGGGCAACTTTATCGATAGCGTCCATCTGATCAGTCCGGTATGGATCAACAGTCTGCGATCTATCAGATCTGATCTTTTAATGTAAATTGTACTATTTCATGTTGTAGCAAGTCCAGTCGATAGCCGGAGCCTCCAACTCTCTGAAGCAGTCGCGCAAGTTCAGGGCGGTTCTGGAGATTGTTCTGGCCTTTGGGAACTATCTGAACAGCAACAAGCGGGGACCGGCATATGGCTTCAAGCTGCAGTCGCTGGACACGCTCATCGACACAAAATCGACAGACAAGCGGTCGTCGCTGCTGCACTACATTGTAGCCACAATACGGGCCAAATTCCCGGAGTTGCTCAACTACGAGACTGAGCTTCAGTGCACGGACAAGGCGGCGTTGGTTGCTCTCGAGAATGTGGTCGCCGATGTCCACGAGCTGGACAAGGGCATGGATCAGGTGCGCAAGGAGGCCGAACTGCGGGTGAAGGGCACGCAGACACACATCCTGCGGGACTTTCTCAACAACACCGAGGACAAGCTGAAGAAGATCAAGAGCGACCTTCGGCACGCCCAAGAGGCGTTCAAGGAGTGTGTCGAGTACTTTGGCGAGTCCTCAAGGACAGCCGATGCGGCGGCCTTCTTTTCGCTGATTGTCCGCTTTACGCGGGCCTTCAAGGTGGGTGCCGGCGGTGCAGTCACTCCGGTTTGAGATTTTCTTACATTGTTTGTCCTTATTGCAGCAACACGACCAGGAGAACGAGCAGCGACGTCGTCTGGAGCAGGCAGCGGCCCTGGCTGCCTCAAAGAAGGAGAACAACGCCCAGGTTCTGATGCGAAACAAGCACAACCAGAAGAAACAGCAGGTGAGTGCTGGCCAGCGGCAGCTCCCCCTCCCCCACTTCAGACTCGGATGTCTTACTCCTGCTCATCTCACCAATGATCTAGTAATCTTATACGCTTTCGTTCTGATCTGACTTACGCAGCAAATACATTGTCTGCTTGACTTTGCCAAGCAGCACATCACTATGGACAATTGCCTCCCATAGCTCCATCCCCAGAAGCAACCAACACCACCTTAACCTTCTCCAACCTCCACCCTAGCACGTCACGTTAGCTACTTGGTCATTTGGTTAAAAGCTCAAAACATTCACACAAAGCTCAGACATTTGGTTTTGGCTGCCTGCTCCTGCTTCCCCTCAAATCCAACCAATATCCAACACCATCCACCAACACCACTAGCATCATCTTCTTGGGGGACGGCATGTGGCGGGATTTGTTTTGTGATTAGTGTAAGTCGCGTGGCTTGTGTCATCTTTTGTCTTACCAAGTAGCTAGTACCAGCCAGTCTCTTGGCCTTCATTCTAATCCCCCACGCTGTGTGGCCTAATACTCGCTTATTCCTTTTCTAATCCACTTTCGACTGTGACCATTGGATACTTGCCAGAAATGTATCACTAAAAACGTTTCTGCTTGGATGATTAATACTTCATTGATGTGTGAAAACTTTCAAACAGTTCCAAACGCTAATACATATTTCATTGCAACACTTAACACCCACTCGCTGAGCAGGAATTCCGTCTAACACGGTTAGGAATTGGAGCCGTAGTGAAGGCATATTGGGAACCGTTTTGGCCTGCGGTTGCAAGGGACCACGGTATATTATTGGCTCAATTGGAATTTGATTTTTATACCCGGTACTCGAAGCGTAAATGGGTATATTCCTATTTGTATTTATATTCCTATTGTATTTGTGGGGCAAGTGGATGCATGTAACGCACAGAAGGAAACGTTTCCGACCCCATAAAGTATATATATTCTTGGTCAGCATCAATAGCCGAGTCGATAAAGCAATGTCTGTCTGTCCGTCTTTCCGTCCGTATTATTGAGCGCCTGGATCTCAGAGAATATGAAAAATAAAAGCCACCAAATTTTGCATCGAGACTTCTTTATGCTCACACTGTTACAAGTCTACTTAAAAAATGAGCCCCGCCCCCGCAAAATGGCGAAAACCTCCCAAAGCTACAATTTTGAAGATAAAAGAAAACTAAAAACGCCATTCCGTAGGGAATCAGGAATATCTATCAGATAACAAAATTCGCAATCCGATCCGATTGGATCAATTTTATAGCCAGAATAAAGAATATAATTTCCAGTGGCTAGGCCCACCCCGTCCCGCAGCTTATATATTTTTTTTGCACATTCTCTCATTCACACTCCACTTCGGGCTGTGTGCGGCCTCTGCTACTGCCGCGTCTCTGCCTTTACAGTGCACTCTGCAGTGTGCGGCTCTAGGGAAGCGGGGCGAGCTAAAGAGGCGTGAGAAGTGTTGTAGATGTAGATGTATAAAAGTTGTGACGCGTAAGAAGCGTCTCACCTTCCCATCTCGTTAAATAATGATCTCGTCATCGAAAAACGTTTGAACAATAAAGAGAGTGGAAAAAATACTTTTACGTTAGGGAATAGTAGATTCCACAAAAAAGGTTTAACGGCCACTCAAAATTTGACTTTTGCTTGCTTCTATTAAAATCTATGAAATTGTATCGCCATATTCAATGCTTCATGGTTATCGGTTAAAAAAGTTTTTCAGGCGGTTGTTAGGCATATACTAAAATTTGGTTTCTTCTTGTTAACGGATTTTTTTTTATTATTATTAGCTGATGGTGTCCTCAGTAAACGTTTAACTAAACATAATATTTATAGATTCTTAAGAGCACCTTAAGTCTCATTAAAAAAAAGCTAACACTAACAGCGACTAATATATAATACCGCTTATAATAAGTGCGTCTCTTTCTGTCGTGGTGGTGATGGTTCTCTATGACTAATGGCTGTCTCTATTCATTTTCTTTAATCCCCTCCAAACTGGCTTGCTCCAAAACACGTTTAACAGCTGGCTACAACCTGCGCGCTCTCCTTGCAGGACGCTGTCATCAACGAGTTAAAGACCAAAGCGCATTCGGTGCGCGAGAAGAAGCTGCTGCAGCAGGACGAGGTCTACAACGGGGCCTTGGAGGACATTCTGCTGGGGCTGAAGAGCGAGCCGTATCGACGGGCAGATGCGGTGAGGCGATCGCAGCGAAGAAGGATCGACAATAATCGCCTGTCGCGCACCCTGGAGGAGATGGATTGCTAGGAGCGACGCCCTAGTACAACATCGAATCGAAAATCAAAATTCAAAAACGAAAGAATATTAAACAATAATGGAGATACTGCAATATGTGATTGGCGATTAAATTGTTTTAGACACATGAAACAGACACACACACACACTCACATTCCCTCCCAGAGGCACGATGTTGCGCCTTAACTCGAATATTTTCAGTATAACCTTAAGATGAATATTGGATCCTCCCCATCTCCCAGACTCCTACTCCTATCCGTGAATCTCGGAACATGTTTTGTGAGAAATGTTTTGTCGCCAAAATGTTTTTACAATTTTATTTGGTTTAATTTTTATTGGCTAGCACTTAAGTTGAATGAATTTATTCAATGGGTGTATTTATCAGATCTTTATTTGTAAAATAATGGGTTTTAAACTGTGTAAATACTATATTTGCGTGTATACATACATCTATCCATGTAATGTATACATGATGTTTAGTGTACCGTTTAGTTGTCGATGCTTAAGTTTTAACCAAATTGGAATTACTACGATTCGCACGAATATGGAAAATCTTCCAACGTACATATAAGAAATAAATTCATGAGAGAGTAAAATGCATTCTACTTTGTATATTTTCCCTATTTAATTTGTTCTTATTTAATGTCTTTCCCCCACTTCACATATAAGCAGCCAGGTCTACAACTTTCATAAGGAGAAGCGCCAAAATATTGCAATTATTGAATTACTTTTTAGTACGTTTTTACAGAACAAGACATTTTATACAATTTTATTGGAATTTTTATACGAACGATATACACACTCGTAGATACTACATATGAATAAGAACTATATTCCATTTATACGCCAATTTACTCTTACAAGCCACAAAAATTGTTGAAGACTGAAAATGGAGCAGTTGACTAAAAAAAAAACGAACACTCGGATATACTTATACACGTAAATAATTACATATTGAAAAGCTTTTGTAACCATTTTTTCGAATAGTGTCTTCTCTCAACCTAGCTATACATACATACATAACATACATTTTTATAAATTGAAATGCAGAAAGCAAAAATGCAGTAACGAATTTAGTTGAACTTTAAGCACAGTTTTACACGTGCCATTGGCAATTTTATGCATATCCTTTGAGTAGAGTAGACCTTTTCTTTATTTTGCCTATGCCAAACAAAATTAGCTAAAGCTGGAAGAAATTTGATCACTCTGCATGCTCGATTAGCACGCGCAGACATGCAGACATACACGTAGATCTTACAAATATTGTGTTATTTAATTTGATAAGAAGCCAGCTAAACACGAATATCGTACAGCTGGATTTTATGTACACTTACACACACTCACACCCACATAAATATATTGAACCCGTAAACTATTTTAAACAAATTATTATTAACCAAATAAACTAGCCAAAAGAAAAATTGTCTGTTTTTGAATTTCAAACACTCTCGCCGCAGGGGTCATCATCTTTGAAAAGTAGGTATGTGCGATAGACTTAGATAGACTTGCATAGTTAATTATTATTCTTCTAATGTAAATATAAGTTCCAACAGGTTTATAAAATTTATCGAAACCTCCAAGCTCTCAAGCAAAAGAAATCAGTGAGCTCTCACTTCAAAATTCTGTTACATCTCTATAAACTATCGATAGTCACGACGCGATAGTCAGCAAATGGAAGAAGAAGAATGACAAATATATCGCCATATTTTGTGGGTCAGGCTACGCGGTCACACTACGCAACGCGCCCAAAGTACCAGCTGATTAGCGAAAACGTTTAAAAATGATTTAAACGATTTAAATTCATGATTTTGCACACGGCGGACTACGGACGCGAGAATGTTCAAACGCACATTTACTGTGGTTTATCGGCCAATTAAGAGCAACTTTGTGCTGCTGCCGGACCAGTACTACGGTGTCGTATCGACCTATGTAAGTGTCCAAAAGTCCAATCGTGCGGGCGGGCGCCCAGATTAGATAAGCCAGTCAATCAGTGTGTGGGATTAGTGAGATTAATCCAATTCGTTCATACTACTAGGACACGGGCTGCCTCAGTTTGCAGTACAATGGACGCGTCCACTACGCCTCTTGGGCACCGCACGCTGGTGGCGGCGGCATCAAAGACAACGAAATTGGGATCAATGCCAGGGCGGCCAAGGAGATCGGTAAGCAGTTACTTAACAGGCGGATGTGATGTGATGTGTGATGTTATACGAGTGCATCGCTTGCCAAAATACCATAAAATTGGATTTCTATTTATCGCTCTCTAATCTTATTTCTATCTATATCTGTGCCTTGCATATTTATGTTGGTCTCTTTTTGTCGTAGGTCTGAATGAGTCAAGTGTGGTCAAGTGTGCGCTCATCGCTGACGTTCTCAATCTGCGCAGTGTCCACGTTACCCCCGTCTCCGCCAAAGACTGGGAGATCATTGTGAGTGATGTGATGTGCTGTGCTGAGGTGCTTCTCTTGTTGGATGCTCTGGGAATGTGTTGGGTCTGCTTAAAAATAGACAGGCAATTTATATCTTAGCATTTGGCGCGGGCGTGTGCTTGCAGTGTACACTTTGCGTGGGCATTGTTTGACAGGCGTTGCCATTGACCCCAGTAGTCTGACCAGAGACGCGTTCTTGGCTCGAGCAATGTAATGTTTCCATGTTTCCGAGTCCTAATCAAGAAATAATTTGCTTGCGACAGGAGCTAAGCAGTGAGAATATCTCAGGAAGCGTCCTTGAGCAGACGCGCATCGTCAACTCGACGCAAATTCTGATTGTTTGGATTAATAAGTCCATGCAGGTGGCGCTGACAGTGGGTAAATATCATCACCGTGGCTCACAACATTTTGCTTAAATATCCACTTTGCAGATCGCCTAAAGCCCCACACTAGCTATGGCAGAATGGACCACAACACTGAGTTGGTGGTGGCCCCCAACCTGTACAAGGGACTGACCAATGGAACCTCCAATGGTGACAGCAAAGATGAGAGCACTAAACTCGCGCGCAGCAAGACGAGTGCCCAGGTCAGGGATGAATCCGTGAATGGCAAGCTGGCGCCCCTCAGCCATTCCGCCACAGCGTACAACGTGAAGAGTACGTTGCAGCGAAACAAGCGGCAGGATCACATGGAGCGTCTTAAGAAGGATCTGCGCAGAGAAAGCTTGCGAAGCTTCGAGTTTCGTGTGATACGAGGTCTGTGGCGCGAGCAGGCCCAGGAGTCGGATGTCTATGTTAATAGCAAGCGCTTGCCCGAGTTCATGGATATGGATCACTTCTATTGCATGCACACGGCTAACGACAAGGACTACTACGTGAGGGTGCGCACGATTGACGAGGAGCTGCACGGAGATCTGCCCGGAACCATTCATCCCTCCATTGAGCTGAACGCTAATTTGATGAAGCTGCTGGGGATCAAGGAGCTGGAGCGGGTTGTGCTGCGGCCGAAGACAATCGTTGTAAACTTTGTGGAGAAGATTGAGCTGTTTGCACACAAGAAGACGCACTACAAGATCATTGAGAATGCATTTAAGCGATTTGTGATCGAGCGCACCCAATCGAAGCCGATGCTCTTCAACCAGGAAGAGGTTGTGCGCCTAGAGGATGATCTGCTAATCACCGTTGGCATACTACCGGAGCATTTCCGCTATTGCGTTGTCGATTCCCAGTTCCTGAAGGAGTCGAAGATCTATGCGGCTGACTTGGTGCGCCCTGTCAACGAGATCATTAAGGAGCAGCCGCCTGTCACCTCGCCGCTAAGTGTCAAGGATCTCATACGCCTACCAGAGTACGACAAGATTGTAAACCAGGTGGTGCGAGAGCTGCGCATGAATTTGTGCCTGAATGCGGAAAATTCCGTGATGCGGCAGTGCAATGTCCTACTGACAGGGGCCGCCGGCACTGGCAAAACGGTTCTAGTCGAGCGGATCTTGGAGCAGTTGTCACGTAAGCCGGACTACTGCTACTTCGACATCTTCTACGGATCGCGCAGCAAGGGCCGCAAGACCGATTCCATACAGAAGGATCTGCGCAACATATTCACCAGTTGTCTGCAGCATGCCCCCGCCATCGTGGTACTCGAGAACCTCGATGTGCTGGCTCATGCCGCGGGCGAGCAGTCCAGCCAGGACGGCGAGTACTACAACCGCATGGCGGACACTGTCCACCAACTGATTGTCCAGTACACCAACAGCAATGCCATTGCCGTCATTGCAACTGTGAGCGAACTCCAGACGCTCAACAAGCGCCTCAGCTCGCCCCGGGGTCGGCATGTGTTCCAAACGGTTGCCCGCTTGCCCAGTCTGGATCGTCCCGATCGCGAGATTATTCTGCGGGAGCTGTGCAGCCACATCGACATATCCCAAGAGCTCGACCTGGCAAAGTTCTCCAATTTGACGGAGGGCTATCGCAAATGTGATTTGGTGCAGTTTGTGGAGCGAGCCATCTTTTACGCCTATCGCATCAGTGAGTGGCTAATCTGTAATCAGTAATATCTAATTGATCCAATTTATGCTCCCTTCCCATCCATCTTTTAGGCAAAGCAAAGCCGCTGCTGACCAACGACCAGCTGATTGAGTCCTTGGAGCACACCAATTCCTACTGCCTGCAGGGCATCCAGAGAAATCAGAAGACTGGAAGCGATGCGGACGCCACTGAGATGCGCATAGAGGAACTGCCGGGCCTGGAGTCGGTTGTGGGGGTACTCGAGGAGGTGCTCATGTGGCCCTCAAGGGTAAAGACTCTGAAAAATGTTATGAACCTGTACAAAATCTTATGATGTACGTATTGCAGTATCCAACCATCTTCAACGCTTCGCCGTTGCGCAATCAGGCCGGTGTCCTGCTGTACGGGCCGCCGGGCACGGGCAAGACCTACCTAGTATCCCAGCTGGCCACCTCTTGGAATCTGCGCATTATATCCGTGAAAGGCCCTGAATTGCTGGCCAAGTATATTGGCCAGAGCGAGGAAAATGTCCGCAATCTGTTCAATCGCGCCCGCAGCGCCCGGCCTTGCGTGCTCTTCTTCGACGAGTTCGACAGCCTGGCCCCCAAGCGTGGTCACGACTCGACGGGGGTGACGGACCGCGTGGTCAACCAGCTGCTAACCGAACTTGACGGCGTGGAGGGTCTCCAGGGGGTCACCGTCATAGCAGCCACCTCCAGACCCGAACTGCTGGACCCGGCCCTGTTGCGGTCGGGTCGCATCGATCGCCTGGTGGAGTGCCCGCTGCCAGATGCCGTGGCCCGGGTGCGCATCTTCGAGGCTCTCAGCTCCACCCTGAGCCTGGATGAGTGCGTGGATTTTGACTGGTTCGCGGGCAGAACTGGTAATTACACTGGCGCCGATATACAGAGCATCCTGACCTCGGCGAACATGGCGGCGGTTAAGGAGGCTCTGGCACAGTTCGGACACGAGGTAAGTGAAGTATTTACACAGAATCCCAGTGGCCGGAAATGGCCCTTCATCCATGGCTAGTTCTTGGTCGACGACTTGTGCTAGGGCTAGGGCTAGGGCTAGGGCTAGAGCTATATCGTGGCCGCCTCCGTGGAGCCCTTCCGTTTCTCGGATTCGTTTAAGTTTGGTTTCGTTTCCCATCGCGCGGCAGCAAGTGCAACGAAATGTGTTCAACTATTTTTGGGTTTCTTACGTGACTGGCATCTGGATCAGAATCTATGCGGGTCCCCCGGCGGGATCGCTAGTCTTCGGATGGGATTTTGGAATATCAGTCACGTAACGGATATTTCCTTATTGATATGCGATTATCGCGCATGCGCACGTACTGCAACAGCAACAGAAACAACAGCAACAGCCACCACAGTGCAGTCCGTAAGACAATGGAAACATTTTTCTTTTGCATAAATTAAGCCGCCAAGCAAACACTCGACCTGCCACCAACCCATACACACACACACACCCACACACACCCACACACACACACACACACACAAAGGAGCCAAAGGCAGAGATAATACAAAATTTAAAAAATACGAATCCACCGCAAACATGCTTAGAATAAGACAACAACAAGAACAAAAAAGAACGACAGAGAGAGAGAGAGAGAGTCCCGAAGGAGCGGGAAACAGCTGTGGTATTACTGGAACAGAATCGGAGTTGCTTTTAATGTTCCTTAGATTTGGTTTCAGTTTTAAACATAGTCTTAGAAGTGAAGTGAATTAATTTTAAAAAGCAGCTTGAATTATCGGAACATTGGTTGCTATTCCTCCAAATGCCAACAACAGTACAAAGGAAAAGGACACATTCTTAAGAATGCAATAAGGCATATACACACAGCACATACATATGTATGTATAAATCTCTTTCAGGAATACCCTTAGCCCAAACCAATATGCGGGAGGAAGGGAGAGCTCGTGCGGTCGCGTCCACCTCGAACAGGTAGCCGAGACCTCTCCCCTCCTGGAAAGGATCCTAGCCGACGTTGCCGTGTTGCGATGCAAGGTGAGGCAGCTATTGCCATTCACGTTCTCTTGCGAGAGCTCGATCGAAAGGCCTCACCTTGCATTAATACACTCTGACTTGGTTCGCCGTCCGGGCAAAAGTTTCTCTTTCTGTGGCGGGCTCCTCCGCTCGATCGTTACTTTCAGTTCTTTGAGCACATTCAAGCAAATCGGTTGACTTCGAGTTTACCTTACTCCCACTCGGGCAACGAAAGACTGACAACGGACAACGAGCCACGGACCACGGTTAGTGCAACGGAAGTGCGGTTTCTCTGTGCCCCTCTGCCTCCCCTCTTGTCCTCTCTGTGCTTAGCGTCCGAGCCGCTCTCGTGGGTTTAGAGGAACATAAAATTGGCAACGAAGCGGAAATACAAGGCGCCTGTTCCTCGCCTCCGCCTCCACCCCCACTCCCTCCAGGCCGGAGATGTTTACCCGCCATTGACAGCCAACTAAAATACAGGAAAATATTGTGACAATATCTTTTCGTCGGGTTAATTTTTTATGTCTCCCCCTCGCTCGCAAATAAAAGACAAAGAACGTGATATTTTGGTGAAAAAAGGAGGAAAAGAATTGTAGGAGCGTATGCCCATTCTTTCTGACATGACAGCACAACCGAAACAGAAATAATAAAATATAAATAACATTTCGAAAGAGATGTTCCTGCAGTGGAATAAACACAATCTTGTCTTGTCAAGTGCACCACAAACAATTAAAGGCAAACATAAGCCAACTCACCCAAAACAAATAAAGCTAAAAACATTAAAGAAAAAAGGGGAACACAAAAAAAGAAAATTGGGTTCTAATACGGAATGAACAATAATAACTTTCCGATCTACATATGTAAAATCAAGTCTATTATCGAAACTCTACGCAGAACTGAGCAATCGAAAATTTGAATTGTGCTAGAATATCATCAACCACAAAGACAAAACACAATTTCTTTCAATTCCAAACTGACACTTTCAAAAATGTGTAAAAAATAAATACTACAACATGCAAAATTTGTCTAGACAATTCAGCCAACCAAGCTAACTAAATATTTTCTTCCCCTGGCCCCAAAGAGAGACCCCATTGAAATGTCAAATCGAGAATGCGAGAGATTCATGCGCTTGATAATATTTCATACGATTAAAAGGTGTTAGCCAAACGTTTTTGGCCATGTGTGTGGCAATCGAACAATACTGAATGATTGACGAATTGAAAAAAAATAACAAAATAAGAGAAATAATCAGATACACTTCAAACACATCGATCGCGTATTTGGCAACAAATGGGAGAAAAAGGAATTGAATAAATTAAAATCTGCGACGCGTGTGCATATCATCATACTCGTACATATGTATGTATGTACGAATATACTCGTACAGCTAAGAAAAGAGCCACATTTACTGGTAGCACTACCAATAATATACAAAAATACATCGACGACAATAGAAATAGCAACAACGCTTGTCGTATGCCTACTAAACAACAGAATACAATTCATTAACAGGACAGTGGTCGAGATTAACTTTGAACATAGTTAATGATAGATCCAAGGGTCGGAAAACATGATCAAATGTGCCAGTCCCACCGACTACCTATAGAGAGCAGATTATATTGGTGGGATATTTGTTTCCTGTCCAGCAGCTCGCCGTTTTTCATTACAATCCATTACAACCCATAGATGGCCATTTTTGATTAAAGATGTTTAATGCGAACATTGTTTCATTATTATCTGGCTAAAAACAATGGACAGTTAATAATTAATTAAATAATATAAGATGCTAAGTGTTGAGGGACACTTCTCCCTTTGCAAACTATTCATTGATTGTCTGACTAAACGAATCGGAATTCCGCCAAAATTCAGCAAACTAAATCTTTAGCAAGTCATTTTGGAATCATTTAGTATGACTTGCATACATATTTGGTTTGTATTTACTTGATTGAAAAATCACTCGATTATTTTTATATTAAATCCCCAGATAAATTTTTGTCAGGAACTGAAATTTTCGAAATGGTACATATTTGCAAGCAAGATCCTTTGATGATATCTGTAATTTGTGGCTTTTAAGATCAAATTCAAATTGCAGTTGAGCAACAGAGCATTCGCCAGTCGCTGCTTCGTTGATTTGATTTAATTCGATGGCATCATTTGGGAATTTCTCAATTAGAGTTTACATATCTTTAGCACCTTTAGTGTTTGATTTGCGAATGCATACACAACAAATAGAAATGGATAGGTATATATATATATATATATATAGAAATAGCTGGAACCACTGTGCTGGGTTCAACAAATTTGTTGGCTTCTTTTCTAACTGTAGGCCTTTTTTGTTGTTGTTGAATGGAAAACAAGAAGCGCACGCCAAAACCATTACATGTACACCACAGCAACGGGGGCCCAGTCGAAGCGCATTTGGCCAATGTCGAATATAGACAAGCAATAATGGGGCTGTCTTTGGGAGTGAGATTGTCAGTGGGACTTGGCAGTGGGAGTGCGAGTGGAGGTGGCAGGGGGAAGGAATGAGCGACTGTGTCCGGCAATTCAGTTGGATACCAAGACCACGTCGTCTTCGAACTCATTACGGAGGCATGGCACATAATCTTCGCTGTTTTTAGCTTCTACTTCTCCCCATTGAATTTTTGCATATTGAGTCTCGAGTGCGCGCCGCGCGGGCTATAACATATTAAACAATAATAATAAATAAATAAAATGACACAGTGAGACAGAGGGGAGAGCGATTTGGCAATAGTCTTCGATTCGATCCACCTAAATATTCCACTTACATACGCTCTCGTACACTCGTTTAGCTGCTGTTGAACTCAAGAGGAGAATCCACTTGAGGCCATGGTAAAAGTGCTGATCACGCTGATGATCATTGGGCTCGGCTGTGCAGCCCCGCCGAATGCCTGCGATCTCAGCCTGCACCGCTGCTTTATCGATGTTACCGCGGAGAAGGGCGGTGCGCGACAACGGCATGTGCCCTCCGATGTGGACATTACACTGCAGTGCTTCCGCCCGCAGGCGAGATGGTTCTTCCAGGACAGGGCCCTTTACAACGGCACCTCTCTGCGACTGGAGCGGGTCCAGTCCAGACAATCGGGGAGCTATGGCTGTGTGGACAGCACGAATCGATGGCTGAATGTCTCTGTGATTGTTGGCGCCCCCAAGGAGCAGGCTGTTAACGACATTGCCAGCTTCGCCAAGGTGGATCCACGTCCCACACCCCAACAAATCCCTAGCGGCAGTTCTGGCACGGATTTCTTTTTCCAACCCCTGAACGTGAGCCAAAAGCTTCCAAAATTGGCTCAGAGATTGCCCGATTCCGTCCAGCGCAAGGCGGGCGGCCTCTTCCAGCTAAGCTGCAGCCCCCTGGAGCCGGACGTCGTGGGACTTAACATATCCTGGCTGCACAACGGCACCCAGGTGCTCGGTGGTCGGGGCCGCATTAAACTCAAGAGATGGTCCCTGACCGTGGGTCTGCTGCAGCCCGAGGATGCCGGCACATATCGCTGCCAGCTGTGCTCTGGCCAGGGCTGTTTCGACAGCAATCCCACACAGCTGGAGGTGACGAGTCGCAGCCACACGGCCCCTGTGCTGCGGCCGGACTATCCTCGGAACGTCAGCACTGCCCTGAATGACTCAGTCAACTTCCAGTGCCCATTGGAGGACTCCCAGCTGCAGCCGCAAATCAAGTGGCTGCACCAGGAGAGCGGTGGCAACATTCAGCTGTTGGTGGAGCGCCTGAGGGAGCAACCGCAGGATCTGCCGGCGGATGTGCAGCAACTGCCCACCATTAAGGATGAACCGGAGGTGCTGCGCCTGGGGCACGTCCAGTTTGAGGATGCCGGCTGGTACATCTGCATCGCCGAGAACCATGTGGGACGCACTGTGGGCGCAGCCTATCTGGAACTGCACACCGCCCTGGAGACCAGCACAGTTCTGGCGGACACTACAGCGAGCACCACCACGACAAAGTCTCTACGCGCCAATGCTCTGGACACAGATGATGAGGCAGACGATGCTGCCGGTGATGCGACAGCCGGGGAGCGTCCGCCGGTGTTCAAGAAGCAGCTGGAGCGCCTGCAGCACTCGGTGGCCGGAAAGACGATCACATTATCCTGTCCAGTGGCCGGAAATGCCAGCATCACCTGGACGCGGGACAGCAAGCCCCTGAAGCGGCGCGAGGGCAGCTATGTTCTGAAGAAGTGGAAGCTGCTAATCGACGATGCCACGTCCGACGATTCGGGGATCTACACTTGCCAGGTTTGCAACGGCCGCGGCTGCATCAAGTTCGATTTCAGTGTGGAGATCAACGATCGCTTCCGCGCCCCACCGATCATCATGGTGCCCCAGAACCAGACGGTGCAGGTGAACGGGAGCGTGACCATGGAGTGCTCGGTGCTTTCCGACCTGAACCCCACCGTTCGCTGGATCCGGGTGGTGCCCAGAAATCGCTCGGAGGCGGAAGCGCATGTTGCAGCTGCAGCGGAAGGTGCGGACGTGGTGCAGATCCCATTGAACACCACACTGGACCAGGAGCACATCCTACAGCTACACAATGTTACCCACGATCAAGAGGGATGGTACACCTGCACCTCCTCCACTACGTTGGGCACCAGCAATTCCAGCGTGTATCTGCGCGTGGTGGACTACTCGCCGCACATGAAGGTGTATGCCCTGCTGCACAGCCATCCCTTGGGCTTTACGGTGGCCGCAGTCACGATCGTGGCCCTCTTCCTGCTGGGCAGCGCCTTCATCGTGTACATGCTGCGGCGCCTTAGACGGGAGAAGCTGCTGAAGCATCGCATCGAGACGGTGCATCAGTGGACCAAGAAGGTTATTATCTACCGCCCAGCCAGCGCGGATGGCAGCTCTTGCTCCGCGGGTGATCTTCAGATGCCGGTGATCAAGATCGAGAAGCAGAGAACAACTTTTTCGACGACTGGTGCGGGCAGTGCCGACTCCTCCCAAGGCTTCAACGAGTACGAGTTCCCGCTAGACTCCAACTGGGAGATTCCAAGGCAACAATTGTCTCTGAGCTCCATACTGGGCGAGGGCGCCTTCGGCCGGGTGGTGATGGCCGAGGCCGAGGGTCTGCCCCGCAGCCCCAACATGGCCGAGACCATTGTGGCCGTCAAGATGGTAAAGGAGGAGCACACGGACGCGGACATGGCCAGCCTGGTGCGCGAAATGGAGGTGATGAAGATGATTGGCAAGCACATCAATATCATTAATCTACTAGGCTGCTGCAGCCAGGGCGGTCCCCTCTGGGTCATCGTCGAGTTCGCGCCCCACGGAAATCTCAAGGACTTCCTCAAGCAGAATCGGCCGGGAGCGCCGCAGCGTCGCAGCGACAGCGATGGATATCTGGACGACAAGCCACTGATGCCACAGCAGCATCTGGGGGAGAAAGAGCTGACCAAGTTCGCCTTTCAAATTGCCCGCGGCATGGAGTATCTGGCCTCTCGACGGGTATGTTGATTGTCTTCGCGCTGCGAGTGTTGAACGTAAATTCCATCTGGAAATCCCTTTTTGTAGTGCATTCATCGCGATCTGGCAGCCCGAAATGTTCTCGTCAGCGATGGCTATGTGATGAAGATAGCCGACTTTGGCCTGGCCAGAGACATTCAGGACACAGACTACTACAGGAAGAATACCAACGGACGACTGCCCATCAAGTGGATGGCACCCGAGTCGCTGCAGGAGAAGAAGTACGACTCGCAGAGCGACGTGTGGAGCTACGGGGTGCTGTTGTGGGAGATCATGACCTACGGAGAGCAGCCATATCCGCAAATAATGTCGGCCGAGGAGCTCTACAGCTATCTGATCACGGGGCAGCGCATGGAGAAGCCTTCCAAGTGCTCGCTTAACATCTACGTGGTGATGCGGCAGTGCTGGCACTTTGAGTCGTGTGCCAGGCCCACGTTCTCGGAGCTGGTGGAGAGCTTCGACGGGATACTGCAGCAGGCAAGCAGCAATCCCAACGATGCCTACCTGGATGTGTCTATGCCCATGCTGGAGACGCCGCCCTCGTCCGGCGACGAGGACGAAAGCTCTGAAACAGAAACATTCCGAGAGACTTTACCGCTTAGATATCAATATACTTATAAGTTTAACTAGTACTAGTCGTAGGCACCCGGCAACCGGCACCCGTCAAAGCCAAGAACTTCCAGCGAGTCAATAAAATCCCATCGAAATTACACACTCCATCGAGTATTTTTGTCCCAGGATTAATCAACTTTCTTTCCCTCCCACCCGTAGAAACTGCCTAAGAAAATATCGCTGAAGCAAAAGCATCTGATCGAGTCCTTCCAAACAACTCGGCCCTCACTAAGCGCCTCCGATGTGGCCAAATATCACAAAACGTGAGTAAAATATTTTCTGATGATTTCGTAAATATAACATTAATTTGTATGTTAATTTCCCCCACGTATGCAGATATGCTCGTTTCACCAATAAAGAGAAAAGCTCGAGGGAGTTTGTGGCTAAGCGCGCTACTTTGGCTTAAAGACAAAGACTAAATTAGCATAGAACTCTGTTTATCCTTAACCGTATTTTGTATATTTGTACATGGAGGAAGGCGAAAGTCTACGTCTTCTTCTCCAACTTCTTCTTGTTGAGGCAATAAACCGAATTTTGTTTAAAGAACGAGTAAGAATCCATCCACGACAGTCTTTATTCCCCAAGTCCGTATAGAGAATTGGAAAATGCCTGCTCGGAAAGGTCAACGAATCTCAATGATAACTTCAGAGCTTTCTTATCTGAGCTTTGCCTATACAGAAAAACATTCTCGTGCATATTGCAAATGATCAGTCGCTGGCAAAATGTTGCGCTTAACACTCGTTTGGCTTTGTTTTCACGACCTCGGGGGTGGTTGGAGCCGGAGCCGGAGCCTGCCATTGTGGAATCGAGAGCCCGAAGATCCCATAGGGAGACCAGCGGAACAGGCAGAGCGTCAACGTTTCCTGCTCGATTTGCTCCTGCAAGTGCACAAGCCTCTGCTGCATCAAGAAATGACAGCCATGGGGAGTCGTCTTAACGAGGAGCCAAGTGATTACCAAGAGGCAAGTGCGAAAGTAAAGAGTAATGTAGGCTAAAGTCGTAATTTAACTTATCTTGCAGGGGGCCATGCGGAGTCTGAGGGAATTTCTGGATAGTGTGCATGAGAATAAAGTTCCCCGGCCCTTTGGAAACTTCAGTCAGCTGGATAAGGCGATGCCCGAGCAGCTGTTGGGCGTGTATCGGTTTCTGGTCCTAGCCAGGGATTGGTACTCGTTCCAGCGAAACGCGTGCTATGCCAGGATACACTTTCACCCCATTCTCTTTGTGAATGCTTTGCAATTGGCGGTGGAAGAGAGAGAGGACACCAAAGACTTGAGACTACCAGCCATGTATGAAGTGCTGCCGCAGCTGTTCTTCGAGGAGGAGGTGATTCTGGCTGCCCAGGAAGTTTCCTGGCAGCAACTAGCTCCCACTAGGGCTGCAAGTCCTAAAAGCAGTTGGCTGGAGGTCCTCCGGGGTTATCTCAGTCCCAGTCGACCGCTGGACAAGGAGGAGCCACTGAATGCGGATGCAGTAGTCATCGATGATGAGAGGAAGGTGGCCCATCTCAGCTTCGATGTGCAGCTGAGTTCCTATTGGAACAATCTGATTAATCGGCTGATTATCTCGATAGAGGCGTGGAAGGAGTCGGAAAGGGATATGCGGATTGTAGACGGGGACCGCCAGATGGCATTTCGGGGACCCACTGATGAACTCAAATTCCAACACCAATCACAGAACAGACTGTATTCCAGGTTTCCTCAGCTATTTTTCGATGGTATCGAACAATTCGTGGCTGCCTTGATGATGGAAGACGTTGCCACAGGCCAAATATCGATGGAGCTGATTAATCCACCGCTGATCACAACCGGGGGTGTTCCCTTTACAGGCACTTCCATGGACACAGAAGCCGTGCGTGGTGTCCTTAGCCAAACGATTGAACATCTGCAAGCACAGATCAACGATGCAGTCAGCAATGTCACCCAGCCTTCTGACATTCCTTTTATTGCACTACATTTAGTGGCCTCGCAGTATCTGAATATCTGCCGGGACCTGAGTCTGGCCATTAATGATCATGGGCCAGGGCGGCCCAGCATGCTGGGCTTGGCCACAGCCAACCTCAGGGATCCAATCTATCGATCATTGCTTTTCCGACTGAACAGGCTGGTGTCCAGCTATGAAGTGGGCGCGCCCCTCGTCAGTCAGTTGCCGAAGGCATCCTTGGAATCGATTTTTGTCAGTCATCTGCGCACGTTTGAACAGATTGTCGACACAGATCTCATCAATGTAATGGACCAACAGCTGCTCCAAACGCACCGTAATAACTTGAGATTGCTACGACGTCGTCTTGTGGCACGTCAACGTCGTCTCAATCATGGCTCCTTTCATATAACCCTTGAACTATCGGCCCCAGCGGAGATCTCAGTGCAGACAGACCTCTATTTGGCTCTTCGGAATCAGTCAAGGCCACGCATGCATTTGGATGGCTTTGTTAGCACTTTGCGAAAAGGCATCAACGTGTTCCAACGACATTTTTCATCATGCACGCTTGGATGCGGCGATGCGACGATGAGCCAGCTCTATGCCACCAATTCCCCAGCGACAGATGGCACCCGCTCGCATGGTCTTCCCCCACACCTTCTGGTGCCACGGGGAGCTGAAGAGGGCCTCAAACTTCAATTGATCATAGAGCTCACAGAACCAGGCCTCGAAAACGAGTGGTCTGGGGCTATCCTGCACAAAGAGACGACGGATGTTTTAATCTTTCATCATTAGCCACTGCCCGATTAAGCTGTAATATATGCTAAGTGCTAAGTGCTAAGTGATTGTTAATTAATTAAACTCCACCTCACACCAACTGCTAGCCTGATAGAACTCAAATTGGGAATGGTACTGCAGCGCATATAGTTTTCAGAGCACGCACACGCTTCGAGTGAAAGTTGGGTGAAGGCAGGATGAACATGAACGAATGTATGTCGCAATAAATAAGTATTCGATACATGAATATTTTACTCGGAGATTTAGGCAATTATGCAGATAAGTTCAGAATGAAAAGCATCCGCTGGTGATTTCCAATTTGTTTGGCTAACAAAACACACACAGAAACAACCGCATTCCTGTTAGTTTGAAAATCAAATAGTATGTCTGTCAAAATGGGGCAAGCAGTGGGGGAAGATGGACTCGGAACTCGAATGAGAACGGTTTATTATACGCGTCGCATGTGAATGCGATGACAACAAAAAGGCATAATAGTAAAATTAAATGTGTCTATTATGCCAGCCAATACAATGCTCACATAAAACCACACTCTGGCAGAGATTCAAACCCACACCCACACCCACACTCCATACCCTCACAGGAGCCACACAATCATTTGGCAGGCAAGAAGCGTTTAAGGAAGGATGTGTTGCTTAGAGGAACCAGGACCGTGTTGGGTTTGGGTCGGGGCTGTTCCTACGGATGGTTTCTCGGTGGCACATAACCGTACCGAACCCGGTACGAATGCGCATAAAAACAAATGCACACAATGCCAGCAACAACAGAGGCAATGATTTCATTCAATTTCCCCAACAAAGAGCAAGGGCAAGCGCAGAGAGACATTCGCATCAACTAGAAGGAAGGCCTTCGGTCTGTGCTTGGTCTGGGTGGTTATGGAAATGCTTGGCCCGGGGAGTCCTGGGCGTGTTTGTTCCTAGATAAGCGCAATAATATGCACGTATTTTACGCCAACTTACACCCCCTCACCCTCACACATGCCATTTCCCTTCCTGTCCAACCCAACAGAGTCCTTGCTTTCATCAACCTCCCCCCTGATTCTAAAAATGCGCAAATTTAAATGCGAATTGTTTTCACTTTGTTGCCTCTGTCGCTTTGCCTAATTGACTTTGTGCCACGTCTTGCCAGCCATTTCCCTCCGAAAATGGTAATAAAGAAAGAATAAACTGAATAGACGACAATCAGCATTTGCTTTTCTTGGGTTATTTTCTCTTCTACTCTAATTTGTTTGCGGTTCATAAAAAAAGGAAGGCTCCTCCCAAATTCCAACAAATGAAAAAAAAGAAAAATGAAAAGTTGGATAACACTGCAGGGCTTATTAATTTTTCAATTGTTACAACCAGAAGTTCGGGGAGTTCGGGGCTTTGGTCTCGGTTTACTTGGAAAACGTTGCCAAATTGCTGACCTGGCAAAGGAGGCAAAGGGACGGAGGAAAGTACTTACTTTACATATTTGAAAAGTCTATAATCTTTGAGTGTATTTTCCATGCTTTGCGTTGCATGCGAGTATCTCCTCCCTTAGATCCTTTTTTCTCTTTCTTCTCTAAAAGCTTTGGAGCCATCGTGAGCATCTCCATGCTCAGCATTCCCCATTCAGAATTCTCTCGTGGCACTCCTCGGGTATTGTTTTTCATTTCCGTTTTCATTATTATTTGTAGCTGTCCAACTTTGACTCCAATTCCGATTCCTGGCCTTGGCTTGTCCTGGTCCTTTCAGCTGCAACACTGCCTCTCTACTTGGTGTCTCCACTGCCCCCTTTCTTTTTATTATCGCTGCTTCTCCGTCTCCGTCTCCGTCCCCGTCTTTTTCCTTGACTTTTTGTGGTGCGAACCGAACGGAGAAGAGAGTCAAGAACAACGTCAACGACGTTGCCAACATCCTGCTATCGTGCTAATTTCCGTTTCTTTATCTTGACACAATGGTGCGCATTAAAACCATGATGGACGGAGGAGGTGGAGTCAGAGCCAGAGTCAGGGGAAACTTCGTAACTAAGGGCTGGTTTTGTGGGTAATAACGGAATGGAGCAGCTGCAGCTGCTGTGACCATTGCGCTTTTATTTCCGCCCCATTCTTGGCCAACCATTCCGCTGTTGGTCCGCTTCCGTGCCTCCTCCAGCCAATATGGCTATTAGACGCCATTTTTGCTTTGTCCACCTAATATTGGAGCCAACGTGAAAGGGACTTTTGGATTGAAGTTCGTATGGCACATAATGGGGTTGCTTTAGGAGTTCCTCCGCTCGGTCCCTGCCTCTCTCACACCTTCACAAAGTCCAAAAGGACCTCCCGCTAGGCTAAAAACCAGATATTTGCATTCAACAACAACATGAAGACAAAATATTGATAAATGCCCGCCATTAAACGCGATTAACAATTTGAATTATGTGGCAAAGCCAAATTTTATTGCCAAAACCCACACACACATATACAGCAGCAGCAGCAGTAGCAGCAGCAACAAAAATTCTATGGCCAAACAAATGGCATCATTATTAAAATATTATATACGAGTGTATTGTGTGTGCATAAACCAGCCATAATTTCCATACATTGTTTGAGCGGGGAGGGGAGGACTAGGAATCGCTAGGAATCACCTCACCTCGTCTCGCCTCGAGTTTAAAGCAACATTTTTGGTTTGGTTTCAATTTTTTTCGGCGGGCACGTTCAGAGATTTTTGAATGCAATTGCGCGAAAGCGAAAATGATTGGCAATTGTTTGTCCCGGCATTCATTCATTCATTCACACTGATCAGATCCAATGCCAATGCCAACGCCAGTTCCAGTTCCAGTTCCATTTCCACTTATCATTCATCCAGCAACAAAAGCATTCAGAGACCTAATGCAATTTTAGTCTAAACAGTTGGTAGCAAAATTTTCAATGAATTGCATCAATTGCCGGTCCATTGTTGGCAGTCCCTCAGTGTCATGCCTCATTTTATTAGACTCCCGTTTTTGTCCACTCGCTCCACTCGTATTTGCAATTGCGTGGGCGTGGCACACTGCACACGACCCAATGGAGGGCAGGCTGCAGTGTACGCCGAGAGGGCAGTGGATTTTGTAATAAAATAATTGCAGCGCACGTGTCAAAAATATTCAAAAAGGCTTAAGAGGGATTGTGCTTGGTTTGCAATGGAAGGGGATGGCAAGGGCTGTGACGAGGGTGCTTCTGTGCTTCAGTGCAGCGTGAAACAGTTACTGGTCTGCGTCCCCTTCTGCGGACACTCTTTTATGTCTACTTTTTTTTTTGTGCTCTAGTTGAGGAATTTTCATATACTCGCAGTTGATGGACCAACGTATGTACCTCTATACGAGTATTAGGGATGTGCTGCCGGGTGTGATGCGGTTATTCTGTGAGACAATTGTTTTACTCGAAATGTACGCAGTGGACATGAGGCTAGATATTTTTCTGATGCTCTACAAATCAGAAACGTCTTCAGTTGTTGCTGCAAGCTAATATATGACGTTAGTATTCTCAGACAAATGGGGCTTAGATCTATAAATGATAATTTTCGTGAAACATCTGAAAATGTATATTATGTATAGTTTCAGGGACAAGGCCAAGAGTATGGAGTCGTCGTGGGAATTTCCTAATCACAGTGCGACACTCTTTTTTGTGTGTCGAGTGTCGACTGCTTGGAATTTGTTTTGATTTGGAACAAATTTGCTAGAGGATTGAGGGGATTGGATTGGATTTCCCTCTTTCGCAGTGTGTGGGTTGAGCGTTTTATTGCTTTTTGCTGTCGCCTGTGGGCTGAGGAAGGAGATGAGGAAGGGGTCCACGCTTTGCCCGGGGTAGGTCTTGGGTCTTGGGCATTGTTTACATTGTTGTGGCGTGAATAGCAAATAAGCCGCAACCAATTCATGGAAAATCACACTTTTATAGCATACTTTGCTGCGTCTCCCAGCTCTGATTCCGATTCCGATTCCAATCCACCAACGCTCCCCCGTCAGCCCATACACACTCGCCCACAAGAGTATTCTAATTGCAATGCATTGAGCGAACGCAGCAGAAATTATACGCATATTCCCACATTTTCACACCTCATTAGTTGACAAAATCGGAGTGCGAGGAAGCTGAAAAAAATAAATAAAAAATTGATGGAAAGCCCCTAATAGAAATGCAGGCTAAAATGCATTTATTGCTGCAATCTGTGGCCACAAAATCAATTTGCGCTTAAAATATATCCCCCCAAAGGGCAGGCTCAGCACCGAGCGGGCTGTTTGTGGGGATATAAATTAAATGGCTTTCGTGTCTGTGGCTGTGGCTGTGGCTCTGGCTGTGGCAAACTGATTGATTTTGCTGTGACAGCAATAGTAATTGAAAATATTCTTCGTAAACTATAAGTTTTCTCGCATATCCTGTCAAGTCGGTGTGGGAGCAGCATCCTCTCCATCTCTCCACCTGTGTCAAGAAATGGTCCTTTCCTGTTTACCGTAATCGCCCACCACGTTTAGAGGAACTGAACCCCTGAAGATGGTAGCAGGATCTGCCAGCTATGACAGGTGCGTGGCATCGACGGTGACCGAGGCTCGACTTTTGGATACCCATAATAACGTGATGGTTTTGGTTATTTCCAATTATTTTGATAAGCATACAAAGTCCTTGATTATTCCATAAAAAAAAAAAACGAAAGAAGTAATCTCTGCCTTTGTGTTAAGAAGTCTCCCCACCTGGAGTTGCACGCTTTATATATATACATAGGTATGAATATTACCTGTTCGCTTTATCAAGTTGTACCCCTGCTCTATGCTCGAGTCTTAGGGTATTTAAATGTATTCCTCTGCTGTATCTGTCGAGATTTTTTAATCCCACTTGAAGCAAAGCCTTCACTAAGTTTTCCTTTCTCTTCTCTGCTTATCAGACGATGCGCCAAGGCGTGTCAGCCGAGCCGTGGGGTGGCGGGGCAGTGAGTCTTCCAATCATACAATAGCTGAAAAAGAGAGGAAAATCCTTTTGACAATGCAACGCATGAATGTATTTTCTTTAGCCAGGTTTTCTTTTTTTCGCCTCCTTTCTAATTCACAACAAATTGAATAGTAGAGAAGGAGAGAGCGACAAGAATACAAGATCTTACCTACATATAAATGGAG